ACCCACACACACACACGTTATTTGAGTTTGGACTGTTACTGGAAAAAAAACGTTCAAGAAATTCTTACTCAAGTTACTGTGTTGAAAGTGTCACGACAGCGCCGCAAAATATAATAAGAGAAGATGTTATAAAGGAAAGAATCAAAACAGGGTGACTACTGCTGTTTTGTTAATTTGTCTTTATGACAAATAGAAGACTTGTTTCTTGTGTTCTTTGTGTCCTAACATTTGTACTTCTACAGTTAGTATATTCCAAATCTAGGCATCTCGTTTTTCGGCCCTTCGTGTTTTTATTGCGCGCTTGCCTTAGATTTAAGGTAATTAGATTTAAGGTCTCCAGTGGACGTCATCCATAGCAATTACTTGGTGTGGCCGACCGAAGAAAATAACCTGACACATGTCCAACCTATCCTCCCCCTGCTGAAGTTATAGTACAATCCCTCAATGTAACGTCATTTGATCCCATCCCATTATGGGGTTCCCCCGGCTATATCCAGCTGTCGGCTGTCTCCAAGCAGATGTAGGTGGGGGATTTCTAAACACAAAAGGTCCTATTACGGGGACATAACGACCTCCACGACTCTCATCTTTGAACTCAATCTTGGAGACCACCACAGTAACATGCCTATCAAATTTCATTAACTTCCATCCACACATACAAAAGTTATCCTGCTCACAAGAAAAATTAACAAGATGCCCCCTGTAGTCACAACGAAACCCCCCACGAAGCTCAGTAACGAACTTAATCTTGGTCCCGACAATAGTAAGCACCACACCAAGAATTATAATCAACATTTTACAAATACTTGAGTTATCTTGCTAACAAGCCACAAACACAAAAGGTGCACTAACGTGACGCACGGACCCCCCACGAAGCCGAAACTTGTACTTGACTTCGGCCTCAACAGCAGTAATCTGCCAAATCCTGCCAAAAATCATGGACGTCGAATGATGCCTTCCAGAGTTATATCGCAAAATCCGCAGTTCCCCACACTCCGGCGAGACAATTTCATAGTCCTTCTGATGAAGACAATAAGATTAAATGCGTTGCAAAGCGATGTCCCAGGAGCCTGAAAGATCAAATCTTACCCCCCCCCTCTTAACCCCCCCCCTTTCTATTCAAAGACGGCCGATAAACATGTTCGTAGATAGATTATTATTACACCCCGCTCAAACCATCTGGATTCACGGTCCAAAATATCAGCACTATCTACATGAAATGAGTGTCCGTTGTGATTGTTGAGGTGGTGATATATCGCTGAAGAAAACCCACTAGAACTAGCCCTACAGTGTTGCTTGTATCTCTCCTTTAGCGGTTGACTCGTTTCACCAATTTAAGTGTCCTTGAATTGAGGATCGTCGCACTTCAATCTGTAGATAAACATCCGACTTAATGCAGTTTTGGATTTTGTCCTTGGGATGTACCAAACGTTGTCGTAGTGAGAAAACTAGATGAGACTCTGTGACTTTTCCAGCCATCATTACCAGTAACAGTAAATGTACTTTATGGTAACATTAAAGCAGTGGCATTCATACTCACCCATTGAAAAGAAGTTTAGTTAAAAGTTTTTTAAGGTTCAATATAATTCCGCTAGAAGGCATCATGCCCGTAGCCAGGATTTTGAATGAGGGGGTTCTTCCCAGTGCTTGAGGGGACCGAAGGCGCAAGGTTCCTGGGGAGGGGGGGGGGTCCGTGGACATGCTCCCCCGGAAAATTTTGAAAAATGAACCTTCTAAAATGGCATTTCGTGCATTCTTGTGAGGACTTCCAAGAAAAAATTAGAGATAAATTTGTATTCAATGAGAAAGGAAGTAGTTTTTCCACGATTCCAGTCCATCTTTTCAAGAAAAATCTTGGACCTTTACATAAAAAGTGGACCAAAAAGTGGACCTTTGAGCCTTGTGGGGGGTTCTTCCGAACCCCCGTGGCTACGGGCATGGGCATGAAAGGGCTGTGTAGAGGTATAAAAACAGCTTGGGCTCACCGCTATTTTGTAATTGTTCAAGCAGATGCCACTGCCCTCTACAGATAACAACAGGTCGTCAGACTCTTTGTGTGATGCTTTGACACCTTATATGCGTCCTAAATGGTTGGTACAGATTTTTCTTGGTCTCTATACACTCCTCACAAAAGGGAATTTGATGTTGAGAACTAACCTCTTATGACATGCCAACATGTTTCTTTCATGACGCCCGCCTTGCAATAATTTTCTTATTCTAACGTTATCTGGTTATCTCAACGGAAAATTTTGGAAGAGACTTCGGGAGCTCACAGGTGCTTGATCCATTTTAAAGCGACGGTCACAACTCGCCATGCGTGCTTTTTGTCCGTACGTTTTTGTCGTGGCTACGTCTGCTACGTTTTTTCCGCAAACGTAGGGTGGCCGGCCGAGGGAGTACGTCACTCGCACGGTTGCGCAAGGTGTACGTACGTGGTCTGCACGACACGTCTGGCCGTAAGCGGTTGCGTGCATCGTACGTTGCGCAAGTGGTAAGTGAGTTGTACGTGCTTACAACGCACGATCTCTGTGCGATTGCTACGTTGCCGAGTACAGGCCGTACCTACACGTGCGGCGTACGCACGGTTTCCTTACTCACTCGCACGTTGTAAGTGCGTGCACCTCCTGTTAACTTCATCATCAATAGCCGCCCTGGTGTCTTCCGCGGCCCGTTTCTTTGGGTCTTGTCTGGTATTCTTCTTTTGAGCCTTCCTGGGCATCTTGGAGACGAGTTGGCAGTCGCCCGTCAAGTCGTCTTTATATACTGTAGAAATCAGGTGCGTTGCACGTGCAACTTGCACGTGCGGAGCACCTGGTATGGTGCACGTGTGTTCTGTGTGGTCATTGAGCAGGTCAACTGGGAAGTGAGGAGTAAGCACGGATGACGCAAGCACCGTGCGTGGCACGCACGTGCATCGTGCGCTGTCCGTACAGCAATTGCACGTGAGAATAGTGAAGTTAGACTCACGGAGTCCGTACGTTGCACGCTCATAGGCTGTACGGGGCACGCGCGTCGCACGTACTCGCACGCACAAGTGGTAAATCCGCAGACCTCACTTAGAAAAAGTATTACATGCACTTAAAGTTCTACGGCGTGTCTGCGTGCTCCCAAATCCGTAGGATTCCGTACGGAGGTGGTACTCACCACGCACGGATGCCGTACGATTGCCCACGTTTTTGCACGTAGACAGCACGCAGAAGCACGTACGGCGAGTTGTGACCGTCGCTTAAGCTTCGGTCACAACCCACCGCAAGTGCTTCTGCCTGCTGTCTACGTGCAAAATCGTGGGCAAACGCAGGGCATCCGTGCGTGGTGAGTACCACCTCCGTACGGAATCCTATGGATTTGGGAGCACGCAGACACGCCGTAGAACTTTAAGTGCATGTAAAACTTTTTCTGCGTGCGGTCTGCGGATTCACCAGCCGTGCGTGCGAGTACGAGCGACGCGTGTGCCCCGTACGCACGTGTGAGTACGTGAGTACGGCCTCCTTACGGTAAAGTTGCATTCGCACAGAGATCGTACGTTGTAAGCACGTACAACTCACTTACAACTTGCGCAACGTACGATGCACGCAACCGCTCACGGCCAGACTTGGCGTGCAGACCACACTCTTACACCTTTCGAAACCGTGCGAGTGGCTAGTGACGTGCGAGTGACGTGCGTCGACGCCACTCCTTCCCCACGTTTTCGGAAAAAACGTAGCAGACGTAGCTTCCAAAAAAACGTACGGACAAAAAGCCCACACGGCGGGTTGTGACCGGGGCTTTAGTGAAGTGTTCTTGTAGCCCTGAAGTGAGATATGAGACAGTTTAAAAGACCGCCGCACCATGAAAGGCACGGACATGCGCATGTCATTATAAACAGCGGGTTGAGGAACAAAGAAACTGGTAAAACGTCATGCAGAACGGGCGACAAAAACAACGGCGACTCAGGGACGGACTTTAGACATAATCCTAACCTGCCTCTGAGCTAAGGTTCTGCAAGAAGATTAGCTGGACATTCTTTGATTTAGGGAGAGTCCTATGTCTCAGAAAGATTTTCTGGTGCAACGATGAAACAAACAGTCAAACTTTAAATTACCAAAGTTTGCGTAGCGGCAGAGTGCGCGACTCGGAACTAAGAGTCCCGGGTTCGAGTCCTGACATGCCACCGATCCTGTGCCCTTAGGAAAGGCACTTAACACGACTTTCCACACTTAGCACAGGTGTAAATGAGTATTGTCCTGTCATGTATTTGTCCCCCGTGTTGGTGGCAGCATTAATGTAAGTTGAAAAAACTTGAGTGTGTCGTCACCACGTCACGTGGTGATTACATGTTGGAAAAAAAATACCGTAACGAGTCCGTGGAAAGAGAACATTCGGGATGGTCGAAGGGGGACACTTCTGAACAGTTCAAGTTGAAAAATGAAATGGATTGGCCTGGCTACACGGGGACGAAAAAAAACGTCCCAAATGAGGTAAGTTATTTTCTTCCTATGCCTACCGTACACAAACAGGTTTTGGTGAAGACAAAGCCATTCATGTATGTGCGTGCGAACAGTCTGTTTATAAAACGTCCATACCCATGTCCAGAGACAACAGTACGGCTGGCTGCCAGGTATTTCTGACTTGATTCAGAGTCAGAGAGTGAGCAAATGAATGGCTCTCTAAATTGCGTAACCAAGGACAAAGAAAAAGAGAATAATACATCTATTTACATGTAGCTTAATTGATTCGATGAAACTCAAAACTGAAGTATTTCACACTGGTAATAAATCAGCAGTTTTTAAAATGAAAACCTCTCCCCTTTAACGATTGAAAAGCGGCCACGGACGAAGTGTAATTTCAAGGTTCAATAAACGTCAAAAAAAGCAAACAGCTACATTCAAAAGTGATGTCGGTAAGGATAATATGATGAGATCATTTGAGATGGATTTTCCTTTTTTTATTAATTTCTCGTATAGGCGCTTAACAGAGGTTTCCAAGTGTCACATGACGACTTTTCACCAGCCTTTTAGTGATATGTTTTGGTAGTTTTTGAATGCTTGTGAACTGTGACCCCTGGTACAAAGAGAAGAATGCTTCTTAACTGTGCATGCATGGCATCATATACAAGGCGTGTAAAGTAACGCCAGGTGCACTTACTGAACACAAACACTGGCATTTCTCATGACGCACAGGGAAGTACCTTCAGAAGTTTCCGTTAAGAGGTTTTAATCGGTATCTGTACGAGAACAGGAAAGGGTACCGCCCGGTGCCACTCGTTGTACATGTACTATGCACAGCATCTGCACGTTAAAGGTTTGGATTGTGGTACCGTAACTGGGATGGAGACGGTTTGGAAAGCCCAGGCGCGCCGCTGGCTGGGGTTTCTCTTCGTTCTGGTCTGCCTCACACAAAGTGTAACAGGTTAGTGCAATTTTCATAGTACTATAAGTACTCTTAGTACAATCATTAGTGAAAATTTGCATGGTGTGTAGCCACTCCACTGTACATGAAACGTGAAAAGAAGGTTCGACAGTGATAAAATCACCCGCACATGTTAACATGACTTCGTGCTAACTTTTAAAGCTACCCAAAACACTTTGTGTATCTGTACGTGTTCAGAATTAATGGGGCAAAAGGTTTTTAGCTACTAGTATTTCATGGAGGTATGAGATCTCCAAACTCTTGTACATTTGTTGTACGTTACTATGAAGGGGGTGCCGAGTGAGCCAACAGTCTGAAGATGCCTATGCCTTTCCTGTACTGTAGAGGATTGCTTGCAGGGTACTTGGGGAGTTTGCCATACTATTGGCTATTTTTATACGCGCAAGACTAATGCTAGTTATACTGTGGAGTTGTATGCATTACTTACTTTCGTACAATTATTACTCCGTGAAGGAGGTCTGGACCTCCGGACGGAGTGTTGTGAGTAGCCGTTTTTTCGTGTTCGCAGTCAAAACACTGGGTTCTCTTTGTGTAATCGGCATGTAATTTTATACGCCGTCTGCGGGCATGCCCGTGATGGTACACGAATGTGTATTTTTAACGTTGCTGCTTTCGCGGTCAATATTATATTTGTAATGCACCCCTACATTTTTAGGCAAATTGGAATGGTCCAGAAAACCCGTTGTTTGGAATAGCGGGGGGGGGGGGAATCTTTCAAGCAGATGTAAGAAGGGGCCGATAAGTGGTACCATAGATGTTCGCAGCCAAAACGCATTGTTCTGTACGTAGCATTTCTGTGTAATTTGGCATGTGGTGTGCCATTATGTCATTATGTCCGTGGTGATGCACGTCTTTTTATTTTCACCGTAGTAGTTCTTATATTGAAGTAAATGCATATGTTAGAAAATCCCTACTTTTACGCTCCTGTGGAATAGGCCGTATGCTTCTCAATCTGCAAAGTATAAAACTTCACGGAGAATTGTCGCCTATGGACCCTTGTTATCTTTTGCAAAAATGACACCCTCCTCCTTTCTTTGTGTAACAAGGCTTTGTTTGGTTTTCATGCACGAGTGCGTCCCTCTTTCTTAGTAGAGGGAGGTGTTTTGGCAACATCAATGTTGTACGAGTAGCATCTCTAGGTTGCCTGAATTGTGATTCTGTGATGGTGACATTGCCTAAGGCCACACCGCCTTAATTTTATGGATGACATCCGCGCGCACATTGATTTTCGCCTGTTCTCAAAACAACAACAAAATAAAGATCACGTCATCTGGCTCTGGCCTGACTCTAGGACTGGGCAGTCCATTATAGTTAGCGACAATACGGAGCCGGGCATCCAGGCTACCGAAGCTCCCCAACTCAAGAACTCGGTACATACGCACAGTGCCGATTCATAAATTCCGCAAAAAGCCAGTATTTGCCGGCTTGTGGTATACGTCGCTATGTACTGCCACAAATTCACAATACCAGCTTTGTATTCCTGTGGTTTAGTAGCATTTTTATTTTTGGCCGGGATTTTTTTATTCGCCCGGGCGCACTAGTTTGGGGGTCTTCAGAAGATGTCATCCATAAAATTAAGGCAGTGTGGCCTAAGATAGTTATAGTTCATGCAACGCTAATGTCTTGTTGAGTTGGAGGGAGAGTGTCATTTTTCAATGGATGATACTGCACGATGTACAAAAAGTGCATACTACTATAAGATTAAGTACGTATAACAAGACATTCAGAACTGTGGCAAACTCTACAAGTACCAAGTAAGAAGTTCCAGAATTCACCACGACTTAATATTCATGGGCGTTGAGAAATTCGGAATGCATGGGTAGGGTGTGCATTATGATACTGATAATGTACAAAACACGCTTCACAGTGGAATTATCTATTCATTGATAGATAATCTGTTGCAAAACAACACCCATATCTTAAAATTGTGGGGCGTAACTCGCCCCATTGATTTCGTTAAATGGTTTATTTGCAAATTGACATAAAACTAAAACAACATTGCAGCCTAATAATACAAAGGCTGAATTACGTAGTTTTAGGGAACACATTAAATATCATTAATATTTACAAACATAATCAAAGTAAATAACAAGAACTGTTTAAGAGTTTAGACAGGTATGGAATAGCACTGTTCCTGTACATTTCAGATCTTATGGATGGTAGGCTAAGCTGGAACCCTTTTAAGTCCCTATTATGTACTTCATTGCGGGTGAGGGGTAGCCAGGGTCTAAACGTTGGTGAATTCAACAGAGATTTTGCAAACTTGAGGCGTTTAGAGTGCAGAGAGTAAAAGTAGAGAGTGCATCCGTACAGGAAGTGTACTTATTTCCATGAATAATTCTGAGGGCACGTTTCTGAATAAAATTTAAGTAGTATTCCTCCTTTGTAAGATAGTTCCTTGTACTTCAATCATCAATTTCAGACAAAGATGCATGTCAAACTCCATCTGAATCTGCCAAAATGAAATACAAAGATATAACAGACATCATGTGTAAATTCACCTGGACATACATGTATTTTCACTTAAGGCCACAGCAAGTAATTTTTATGGATGACATCAGGGCGCGCATTAATTTTCGCCTGATTTTGTGAGGAAAAAAAAACAAGAAATTTTGTTGTCCCCTGACAGTGGTCAAAACGCCGAAAATTGGCAAAGATGGAAATTACCTTAAGATAGACATAACACTCCCACTTAATTTCTCTTCAGGTGTGGTAGACGTCACCATCGTCAGTAAGTACCAGTTCTTTGGTGAATCCGAGGACACCCGGCTGTACTGTTACTACACGGGTAGTTACATCAGCCAGAACGGGTACCAGTTCGGTGTAGAAGTTGACACTGGCGCAGGAACAACATTTCATAGTCAGAGAGGAACTACCAAGGTGTCAGGAGTATGGTGGAGTACGAATATCTTGGTTAGAGCTGGTGACTTCCGGGTTGGAGCATTCTCCTGTCTAGTAAGCGACGGAAGTCAAACAGAGAAGGCCACCACCTTCAAAATGAAATCAGAGGGTGAGTACAGAAGCTTGTGTCTTATCTGCACATTTAGTAGAAATTCATCAGTGACTTGTTTTGAAAGGTTGAAACACGTAACTCCAAATTTTCGATGTCTAGTATACATCTTGATCACGGAGTGACGTACACTACCAAAAATATTTTTTCTTATTTTTCTAATGTTCTTATTTTGAGAAATATTTTCAAGAAACATTCTTCAAAGATAGCATGTCAATGATCACTTTAAGAGTCATTGCACGAGAAAACCAGGCAAAACCAGGCAGAGGCCGGAAGATGGGGGTCGGCCAAATCGGCTCATACTTTGTATGTCAGATAGGTATGAGGAACTATTAACAGCCATATAGTTAAAACCCTCCAGGTATTTTTCGTTATGGAGTTCTGGGACCCCCCCTCTGAGACCCTAAAAAATCTAACAATTTATCGCTGAAAATTACTGAAATTACAATGGACACCACGGTAATTCTGATAATGATATGAACATGGGTTTTTTTTTGTCACATAGCATGGGTCTTTGACTTTTACAAAACAAAAATTGAAGATGCAACATTGAAGTAAAAAGGGTATACCAGGGGGTTACCAGAACCAATGAAAACAGAATTTTCATCTTTCTAAATTTTAGTCATTTTTAAGTAGCCTTTTCTCCGTGACGCGGCAAATTTGATAAACGGTTTTACCGTTGCTGGAAAGAGGAACATCTGCTGATTCAAAAACAAGTGTCGTTTACGTCGATGAAGGTTAGACATCCAGGTAATACGATATGCCAAAAAACAGTTACTCAAGCAACTGGATATGATTTTGAAAACGTCAGATGTTTCAGCTAGTATCCACTAGCTTTCGTCAGTGACTGAGAGACCAGAGGGGAAAGCAGGTTTATATACACAAC